GGTGAAATAGATCAGAGAAGATACAAAGAATTCTGAAGAGCTTGGAAAGTGAAAGGGGGAAACAACTGCCACATGGTCACTTAAGCCACAACTTTCCCTCACACCCAGATGCAAGTTTGAAAAAGGAGTCAACAGGTTACAACTTCGAATGATCTAACACTGATATAAGTGTATGAGCAGAGGTTACATTAGTTAAAGAGACCCCTTAAATTCACATCAGATTATCACTAAATTACTGTACTTAAGTAAAATTTAGTAGCCTGGCCACCAACTATCCATTAGTCAAGGTCTCATGAGGAAGAACAGATGAACTATAATGAAACAAAGCAGCACTCTGCACCTTCTGTAGCTGAACATATTTATCCCCAATTCTATTTTCTACAGAAGTTCTCAGTTGTCTTGAATAGAACCTACTAAACATAAAATATAATATTTAGACTGCCATCTGTCTCTAATCTGACAAATTAACTTATCATAGTAATCTTCAGAAAAACTTAACAAAAAATACTCTGAAAGAGGTGGATGATACATTTTGGAAGGATAGAAATTGTATTCAGAGTTGTCTAGGACCTTCTCACCAAACACATTTGCATATACAAACACATGTGCAATGTCTAGAAAAGTGTTTGTTATATCACAGGCATTCATTTACTATTTAGTAAATTGTGTCTGGTGACTACTCATTAGTCCACTGTAGACACTGTGCATACTGGGCATACTTGGCAGTGTGGGCATGTGAACATTCTAGTTCTCTGAGCTTTGGGGATTACTTAGATGCCCTTAGTCTGTTTAGAAAATATCAAGACTATGATAAGAAACAAGATCTTGATATGTTGGTCTTATGTCAAAGGAAGTGATTCAATAGACTTTGGTCAAAAATTCCTAGATTTTATTATGAAACTTTTCCTTTTCGTCAGTCTTCAAGAAAAAAACTAGTTTAAAATCATGTTAGAAGTCAATCTCAGTCTTTGCTGGTGCTAATTATCATAAATATCTTAGCTTGAGGGTAAAAGCTTCCAGACTTCCTTCCTACTAAATCACTAAATGGTTGGAATGGTTACTGGTCCCCAATCTAAACATCATTGATAATTTTTAAGCTACATAAATTATTAAACATAAATATTTCAAAATTATTAAATTTTTCATTTACAAATTATTTACATAAGAATTATACTGAAAAAGATGGATTAAGAATAAATGCAGTAGAGCACTATTCACAATAGCCAAGTTATGGAAACAGCCAAGATGCCCCACTATTGATGAATGGATTAAGAAAATGTGGTATTTATACACAATGGAATACCACTCATCCATGAAGAAGAATGAAATCTTATCATTTGCAGGGAGTTTGCTCACATTGCTTTCCTGTATAGCTATCCTTATCTCAACTAGCAAAAAGCCTTGGTCCTTCCTATTATTGCTTATATTCTTTCTTCAACAAAATTAGAGATAAGGGCAAAATAGTTTCTGCCTGGTAGTTGGGGGGGGGGGAAGGAAAGAGTGGGAGGAAAGGGGGGAGGTGGGGGGAGGGGGGATAAATGACCCAAATATTGTATGCACATATGAATAAACAAAATAAAGAAAAAAAGAATAAATGCAGTAGAAAACTTTGGAGCTAAAGGTAGAGGAGTTAACAACTAAAGATAAATAATAGAATTTATAAAGACTTGGTTTCATTACAAAATGTACCAAACATTATCATTTATTCATAAGGAAGTTGTCAGGTTTACAAAAATGCAGGCTGCTCATAGAAAAATTGGTGCCAGTAACTATGCTTCCTAAATTATGTCTTCTGGTAAACAAATGAGTCACTGCAGGAAGACAACATTCTTGGGATGGGAAGAGCTCCAGAGTCAGGAACTGTGGGATGTTAAGAACACACTAGAGATGAGTGAGCCAATTTAATAGGACAAAAGCAAAGTATTTAACATTACAAAACAAACAAAAGAGGAGGCAAAGACAAGGTCTGACCATAAGAATCTCACATTTCATGTAACCTGTTCATATGTATAATTAGTATGTTTTACATATCAATTAAAACTAGAACAGTTTTTAAAATCTTGCAATTCTTATATTATCCCTATTTTTATTCTTTTTTTTTTCATTTCCCTTTAGAGTTTTCTTTCTATTTATGCATGCCTTAGAATGAAAAGGTACAGAGCACTTGGATTTTGAGAAAATTCAGGATGGGGGAAAATTGGTTAGTTTTTATCACATTCATACAAGATGTGGTTTGAGAAAAAAAAGTATGGGACACAGTGGCAACTATTACTCACAAAAGATAAATACACACCAAGTTCCTTGGTCCCAAGTCCTAGGAGAAAGGAAAAATAAGTCTATGTGGGTTTGAGGAAGGACCCTGACTTTAGGCACTAAAAGAAACCACAAATAAACTATTCCAAAGGGAGATTTTAGTGCAACAGACAGAATCTGATCATCTCTAAAATTCCATTTTAGTTGTGTCTACATAACTATGTAGGATGTGTCTTTGTTCTATAAAATAATTTATAATCCTACTAATCTTTCAGTGGAGTGAATCTCCTAGGTAAATGTTAAACTATAGGATATCACAGTTCTGTACTTTTAGAGTGTAGTACCAGAGGGACTGTGAGTAAAAGAATATGTAATTCAATATATTGAGCTATACCTATGTCCCTCCTTCTCTCCTGTTCCTTAAATTATAACAAAAAATTGCCTCTAATCCATGAAGATTGTTTTGATGGATTCCATTTCATGTTTAACTTTATAGTTTTCCTGATAATACTTCTCTATTAAACATTCACAACTGCCCTTTCTGATGATGTACTTTTGTGATTTGAATTTATTTATTTATTTTTCTTTTATTATTCATATGTGCATACAAGGCTTGGTTCATTTCTCCCCCCTGCCCCCACCCCCTCCCTTACCACCCACTCCGCCCCCTCGCTCTCCCCCCCACCCCCTCAATACCCAGCAGAAACTATTTTGCCCTCATTTCTAATTTTGTTGTAGAGAGAGTATAAGCAATAATAGGAAGGAACAAGGGTTTTTGCTGGTTGAGATAAGGATAGCTATACAGGGCATTGACTCACATTGATTTCCTTTGCGTGGGTGTTACCTTCTAGGTTAATTCTTTTTGATCTAACCTTTTCTCTAGTAACTGTTCCCCTTTTCCTATTGGCCTCAGTTGCTTTAAGGTATCTGCTTTAGTTTCTCTGCGTTAAGGGCAACAAATGCTAGCTAGTTTTTTAGGTGTCTTACCTATCCTCACCCCTTACTTGTGTGCTAAAGCTTTTATCATGTGCTCAAAGTCCAATCCCCTTGTTGTGTTTGCCCTTGATCTAATGTCCACATATGAGGGAGAACATACGATTTTTGGTCTTTTGGGCCAGGCTAACCTCACTCAGAATGATGTTCTCCAATTCCATACATTTACCAGCGAATGATTTTGTTCTTCTTCATGGCTGCATAAAATTCCATTGTGTATAGATACCACATTTTCTTAATCCATTCGTCAGTGGTGGGGCATCTTGGCTGTTTCCATAACTTGGCTATTGTGAATAGTGCAGCAATAAACATGGGTGTGCAGGTGCATGTGACATCTACAAAAGTGCTTATAATATATCTTAGTTAAATCCATCCCCTTCACCATTTTCTTTTATTCCCCCCTCTTCTGCATCTTAGAATAGTTCCAACAGGTCTCCTTTTTCTGTTTTCATACATAAGTATATAATATTTCCACAATATTTGCCCTCCTTCACCCTTTTCTTTGTTAGGAAAAACGCGGCTCACAAAGAAAGTTCACAAGAAAAGTTTCACATCCAAGAACAAGGTTTAATGGCAGGCCTGAACTGCCAGGCTGGCTGGGGAAAGATGGTGCAGCACAGACTCTGGGTCAAGCGTGGCTTTTATAGAAGGGGGAGTTGAGGAAGTTAGTGCTTGTGCAGGAGTCTCTGGTGGAGGTGGAGCTTGTCTTGGAGCACAGGAATTTCTGTTGAGGGCAGGGCTGTCATTGGGAATGGCTCCATTTCTCAAGTGAGATCTGAGGATAAAATGGCCACCAAGTTACAAAATGGTGACATTATTGTTCTATCATCCTTATGTCCTCTCCCCTCCCTCTGGTACCAACCCTCAGACAGCACCTGTTTTACCTTTTTGTCCTTCATTTATGAAAAAAAAAAAAAAAGATATTTTTGTTTTTTTAAGATAGCTATACAGGGAATTTCATTATGACATTTCCATATATATGTATATTATATACTAAATTAGTTTATTCCCTCATTTTTCACCTTTATACTTTAGTCCCCTTCTTGTTGTGATTTCAGCATATTTAAATACTCTATATTTATTCTTGTATAGAAAGTACATCAACCCAAACTTGAATTTAAATAAACCAATGTATGCAATGGAAAAAAAAATGGGTGAGTGGATGATTTTACTTTACACACTGACCCCTTGTAAAATAAATAAGAAAAAGATTCTAAAGCATCTCATGACATTTTACACAAAAGACAGGAGAACAATGGGTCTCTGGAGTCATAAAATTTCATTCTTGTGATGGTCAATAATGCAGGTGAAGCAGTCCAAGACAAACTCCTCACTGAGGGGGCAGAAGACCCTTTTATGAGAGTGTGGATCACCAATTCATAGTAGTTGCTCTCTTCCCACTACACAGAGGGACAATATCCTTTTGCCACAGCCCAGGGACTTCACTCTGATAATTTTGCAAAAGTTTAACAGGAGCAGAGCATTGTAAATACAGTGATACTTCATCTTGGTGCTTCAAAGAAACACATCTTGGTTATATTATTAACATTTAAGGAAAGCCCAGAATGCAGATTCCTGTTCTGAATCATTTCCCGAACCTTTTCATTATTTACAGAAATTCCTGACATGCACACAACCAGTGTTATCAGGCAATGACAGATCCCCTGAGCCTTTTATCATTCTGGCTGCAGTTTTGCATATTTCCTTTATAACCAGACAGCATACCAAATGAAGGTAGACTCTTTAAAAGGAAATGAGGCAAGTGGAATGTCAATTTTATTTAGTAATATATTGTAAAAACTAAACAGCATATCTGGTTGATTGACAAAATCCATCCAACTGTTAAAGGCAAAACAAAATTATCACAGAGGTACAATTATGCAGACCTTACTTTTACCTATAGACAGGTATTTAAAGAGAGACAAAGAATATTGGAGCAGAATGCTACATCCACAGTTGTTTGACTGAAAAAATTTAGAGAGAGAGATGGAGAGACTCAAAAGCAGGGATATCATGTCATGGTTTCTCTCTTCTTCTTCAATGAGCCTTTTAGCTTCTTCCACAAGCTATCTTTTCTCTTCAATTTCTTTTCCATCAAGGATGGCATGGACTCCTTCTTGCGAATTTCCCTCACTAAGCCATGAAAGGCATCATCAATGCAGAATCTGAGGGCTGCAGAGGTCTCAAAAAAAGCACAGTTATATTCTCGGGCAAGACTCAAGCCTTCTTCTGTAGAAACCTAAGGAAAAAATAAACAATATTAAAAAGAGAAAGGCTCTTAGATTAAATATATATATATATATACATATGCTCTCTTCTAGGTCCCATGGGTCACAGTTTCACAAAAATGTGTAAATTGTGAAAATTTACTATGAGAAAGAGTCCTTGAATTTCAGAACTTGAAGAACAAATGAAAAATCAGAATCTCTGAAAGGAAAACAGATTAAAACCATTGAAAACAGAAACCAGCATTTCAAACTTCAAAAGTAGCAACATAGCCTAACAGTCACAAGCACAACTTCAGATTAACTGTACTTATTTCAAATCCCTGCTTTACTACTTTTTGGTTTTGAATACTTGGGAAGTTTTCTTAACTGTGCAGTTTTAATTTCCTCATTTGTAAAATAAAATAAAAACACCTACTACAAAAATTGTTTTGTGAGAGTTAAATCAGATGGTCTATAAAAAGCACACAAACATACCAGGCACGTATTTAAAGGTCTAAAAGTGTTATTATTATCGCCCAGAGCTTTCATTTAAAAATATGTGACAGTTTAAAGTTCCCAGAGAACTTTTTTAAAGCAATCTTGTAAGAAAGGAAAGCAAAACACCACCATTACCATTACGATAGCCAAGCCTTTCCCTAGCCAAGCAGCTTAGAGCAGGTTTACAGCTTCCTGAGTCCCAGTTGCACTTAGCATACTGTGGTTCTTACTATTGTACTGGATCTTCTACAGGCTATAAATTGACTGAGGTCAAGAACTCTGTCTCATTTATCATTCCATTCACACTTATCACAGTTCCTGGCACCTAGGTCGCCTTAAAGGTGTTAGATGATTTTTAAAGAATAATCAGTAAGGGACAAACCTAATAACCCACACCTGCGATCCCAGCTACTCAGCACCAGAAGCTCAGGAGGATCATTACTTGAGGCCAGCCTGGGCAAAAGTTAGCAATACTCCTATCTCATCCAATGAGCTTGAAGTGGTTGCACACAACTGTGATCCCCACTACACAGGAGCTGTAGATAAGAGTGTTGTAGTCTGATACCCTATCTGAAAAATAACTAAAAGCAAAAAGGTCTGAGGGTATGGCTCTAGTGATAGAGGCCCTGTCTAGCAAGCAGGAAGCCCTGAATTCAAACTCCAGTAATGACAAAGACAATATAGGGAGTTTTAACTAAGATGTAAGCATAAATTTTGCACAAATATTTGAACACTATTACTGCAACTGATGCCAATATTCCTATTTAAAATTTAGGACTCCCATAAAGCCTTTCCAGATTACACTCAGGGACCCTGAGTGGCAAGGTCTAGGGCTACCATGAGCACACCTCTCAGGTGATCTATGTTGGTTAGTTGCATAACTCAGAAAGAAACTTTGTTTTCATACTCTGTTGGGCATTTTGTAATCCTTTGTTATCAGAGCAGAAACCAGCTTTCTTAACTGATAATAGCACACATAACGGTTAGTCAATGGCTGAGCTGAAGTGTAAAAATCTATCAGGTTCATCTGATTCCAAAGATATGTCCTTCGATTTACTCTGTAATAGATTAGCTTTACCAAAGGCTGCAAAACAAGGATGAGTAACTGTCTTGTTTTATCCTATAACACACAGAAAGCCTGGAGTGTCCTCCCTTCCAGTCCTGCTGACAAAAACACCAATTCTATTTTGAGCTCGTTTCTATCTTGTAGAAGCTTAAGAAGTGTAGCTAAAAACAAACAAGTAAAAGTATTGACATGTTGCTTTACCAGTAACTGGACAAAGTTGTAAGTTTACTATCTTGTCTGATTTTCAAGTTATCAGAAGTGATAGCCTTATCCAATGTTTTGACACTGCACAGGATGATTTGCATTTATTTTTCTGTCACCCATAAGCATTTTCCCCACCAAGAAACCACTGACACATATTTGACATGTACTCAGAGAAACTCCACGTTTCTAGTAACATTTCATTAGGTATTTTGCATTTTAAAAGATCCTCAAGTTCTTTGCTTATGTTTCTCATTCTCAGGTAGAAGGATACCAGAAACTGAGCCAGAACCACTCCAGACCATTGTGAGCTTGTTGTTCCTTTTACCCTATCATAGGACTGAGGCTAAAAGAGGACCTCTTATCTGCAATATGATGTTTCCATAATAGATGGCAGGTTCACAAGAGGCAGAAATAATTTAACCCATATCTCAATGGTTGAAAGACACATAGAGAAGGCAAAAGTCAACGAGGCAGGTTGTATAATCCACTTACATTTACACTGAGATAGTTCAAGAAACAAAGAATTGTAAAACAAAAAAGAATCAAGTTTATATAAAGGTAGTACCTTCTCCAAATGTAGAAAGCATGAAATTTGATTGGAAATTTATTCAAAAAGAAAGTTGATACAATGACATAAATATCAGAAAATGTGAAGAGTAAGAAAGAAAATTACTAGAGTTAAAGGGAAATATTTTATAATGATAAAAAAATCAATAAGATATACTAGTGAATTTGTATGAGCTCAAAAATACAGCCTCGGTTTATACGAAGAAAGTTGTCATTACTAAAATCCAAAATTGTAATGAGAGATTTTTAAAATCAGCATATATTTGTTGCATAAGAAGGGATTCATTGTGACAGTTATATATGTGTGTACAATTTATCCTAATTAGATTAACTCCCCCCATCACTCTCCCTCAGCCCCCTCAACAAGTTTGAACAGGTTTCACTGTTGTATTTTTGTACACAAAGTATATCCACCATTATTCATACTCCTTCACCCTCTCTGTTTACCCTCACCCCTCCCACTTGTACTCACCCCCTCACATGACCTGTTTTACCTTCTTGTACATTTTTTTTAGGGTATATAGATTGTTCAACGGGTTTTGCCTTAGTATTTCACTCATGTATGTATTGTATATTTAGCAGATTAACCTATTTTATTACTTAATCTTTCTCTATTGCCCTGTTCCCCTATTATTCAACAGTTCACATTTCAGTTTATTTCTTTATGCTATTTTCATACACAGATGTAATGTATTTTGATATTATTCACTCTCTCATTCTCTTTTCCTCTCCTGCCTCCCCATATGAGATTTTAATACATCTTTCAACAGTTGAAAAAATTATGAAAAAATAAAACTATAAAAGATTTGAACAAAAAATTGAACACAGTTGATCTAATTTATGTATGTACGATATATACCTAGTATGTCAAAAGTTAAACTCTTTTTAAATAAACATGGAGGATTCATAGAAAATGACTTCATGCTGAACCAAACTCAAAACACTGTGAAGAGCAAACATCACGGCATATTCCCAGACAAATAAGATTAAGTTAGAAATTAATAAATATGATAACTAGAAAATTCCCAAATATCTGCAAACTATATTTCTAAGTGGTTGAAAAATTATATCAAAATCAGAAAATATTAGGAACTGAATGATTAAATGAAATACATTAAAACTTATAAGATTATCTAAAGTTTTGTTTAAATGCTTATAGCATTACATAAATTAAAAAAATTCTTTTCCTTTGCAGTATTCTGGATTAAATCCAGGACCTCACATAAACTAGATAGACTCTCCACCAATAGGCTATTCTTTAGCTCTTCACATATATGTTTTAGAAGAGTATAAACACTCAATAATGATGAAGCTATCAACCTCTATAAGTAATTAATTTCAGGCAGTGGGGCATTAGTTAAGGGCTAGACAAATAGTCTAAACAATGCAACAGACAACCTAGAAAGATCAATACAGTTGTAATGATGTAGTCCTGGGTGGCATATCAAATAAGTGAATAAATGAAGGCTCTATTAATAATGTCCTGACACTGAATTATCATTTCTGATTGTTTTTGACAAAGATGTTTGCAGATTATTTCCACCAGCACAGGAAGGCAAGTTTTTGGTGCATATGGGAGAAGAAGGAAGATTGGAGTTGTCTTTAGTTCAGTCTACCCTTTTTGTACACACTTGAAAAAAATTCTGCTTATTATTTATATATTATACATACATATACATGCATAATTTTATATAAACACACATGTGTTTATGAAATATTTTCTAATCAAAAATGTAAGCATCACCATCATATGCATTAAAATTTAGTTAGAAGTTCAATATAATAAAATCTCAATCTGAAATAAAATCATTAAAAAATTCTATGTGAAGATTTTTACTGGAATCAGCATGTTTAATGCATGTCGTAACTGCGTATTTGTAGCAGGTTGAAGTATATTTAAGTATATGGCTACTCGTTACTTTGATAAGTAATTTAGGAATCATGTGCCCTTTAGTTCAAATCATGAAACAAAGTTGTACATATTTTTAGTTTCATTATCAAAACATGAATTCCATGTTGTCTAATTCAATAATTTCCACATTAATTATACTGAAACACAAATGAAAACTAAATTTAGTAAAATATTTGATCTATTCTATAATAAAACTTTATTATTAGATCAGGGGCCTGAAGATTTTAATGTTTTTAAAAAAATACTGAGGTGAATGCATACTTTAAAAATAAATTTCCATGTTTCAATAACATTCCATAAACATTAACAAACCATACATTTATCATCCTTAAATTTACATACTATTCATTCTTTAGAGAATATGAGACAAAATATGTTTATATATATCGTATATATGTTTATCATACATTTATACTACAAAGGGAATCTCATTGTGATAATTCCATATACGTAAAGTTACCTTCAACAAGTTGACCTCCATTATATTCCAGTCCTGCTCTCCTACTTCCTCTCTCTTTCAAACAGTTTTTGGTGGGTTTCATCATGATGACTTCATATGTACATATTCAGTGTACTTCCATTTTCTTCACCCTTCACTATCCTTTCTTTTCCTTTCCTCCCCTCTCTTTGATCCCCTAGGAAGTCCACCATGTACATTCATGTCACATCATCATCATCATTGCAACAGTATCATAGGGAATATTTTTAGGAACCTAGCAGTTCACTAATTGTGTTCTGACTGGGTCAGAACTAGTTTATGTTACAAGAAGTAGTAGCTTTTCTAT